GTGAGTCGGTTCCAACTCAATGGCACCTGACAACAACAACAACATATAAATGGAGAAAAGATTGAAGTTATCAAAGTGTATTTTTCTTGGTTCAACCATCACCACTCATGGTAGCAGCAGTCACGAAATCAGACGTATTGCATTTGGCAAATCTGCTGCACAAGACCTCTTCAAAGTTTTCAAGCGCAAACGTCAGTTTGACTACTAAGGTTTACCTGACCCAAGCCATGGTATTTTCAGTAACCTCAGATGCATTTGAAAGTTGGACAGTGAGCAAGGAAGACCATAGAAGAATTGATGCATTTGTGTTACAATGTTGGAGGAGAATATTAAAAGTACCATGGACTGACAGAAGAACAAACCAATCTGTGTTGGATGTAGAACAGCCAGAATGTTCTTTGTAAGCCAGGATGCTCAGACTTTGTCTCTTATACTTGGTACATATTGTTAGGAGGGACCAATCCCTGGAGAAGGATATCGTGTTTAGTAAAGTGGATGGGTGTAGAAAAAGAGGAAGACCCACAATGAGATTAATTGGCACAGTGGCTGTGGCAATGGGTTCAAGTATAGCAACAGTTGTGAGGTTGGTGGAGGACCAGTCATTGTCTCATTGCATAGGATCACTATGAGGCGTTATTGGCTTGATGTCACCTAACAACAACAACAACAAATGATGTCACATGACTCTTCAGATCTCTCAAAAAACAGGATGGTTAGTGATTCTTGGGACAAGTTGCTGCTAGGGGCCATCAGTAGTAGGAAATAGTCTGGGTTGTGAAAGGGAATTGTGTAGATTAAGGGATGACTCCCTTCTACGTCATCCCTTAATGTATTAGATCTAATGAGTGATTAATTTATATATATTGTATGTAAAAAGGACAAAATTCAACTTCTCATCCAATATAAGAATTTTGAAGCTATCTCTTTAACCTGAGAGTAGACTTTCCCAAATGTCATTCATTTAAGTTACAGATCCTTGATTTTTCCCTAATCTATATACTATTTGTGCTGTTTACTTAATATTTAAGAAATAAATCATAACAACTAAACACTTTTTAATGTAAAAGTTTAAAGATGTAATTTATGACAAGTAAGTTGAAAAGTCTTTCTGCAAAATAATAGAATTGATCAAAATGTGAAGTTATGTCTGAAGGGACAAGGTCAGGGCTGTAGGGTGGATGGGATGAGTTTTCCCATTAGGAAATTTCCAATTAGGAAATTCTAATAGGACAGCCCTTCTACCCTTGAAGAATAAGTAGATGAACTTTGGTGAAGGAAAATAATTACTGGGGACACCTTTTCCTCACCCATGCAGTTTTCAGTTTTCTTCCTTATAAGCCCCTGTGATTTTCCTTTTTCCTTCAAGAAAATCTTTCAAG